GATCACCTTAGCCTCTGAAGACCTGATCTACTACAAGCCTACGACCTACGACCCAGACCACGACCTCAGTGTACTGTTACTACGTGTCAATCCCCAGCTTCTGTTAGCAGACCCTACTGTCGGATAGCTGACCGTAACAAATATAATAAAAAACTATTCCTACTTAGCTAAGTAGCTTAAAAATCCCCTTTATATACTTTATAAATTAGCTATAGAAATTACGCTATAACCCTCTATATATTTCCCCGTTAGAGTTATATAGTAGTTAATAAAGTGCGCCTCTAGGCGGCAAACTACGAAGAAGAAAAGTTAGAAGGGAAGAAAGATTCGTTCCGCCCATCCCTCGCTGTCTTAGATGCAATCGTAACACCCATCACGGCAGCCTCGCACATTGAAGTTGAAGTAGTCTGGCTATCTGGTGCTCGTCCCGCGATCCTTTCATCTAGAGACACCGTCATGTCCACTCCTTCGTTCTTTTCCCAAGCCCCTGATCTAGCTGTCCGAGTTGCTTCCAGTGAGCCCGTTCTTGCCCCGCGGCCCTTGGGCGACGAGCGCACCTCTCACTGATCCAGCGCAGAGGCTTCATACTTTGAAGGCTGTCTGATGGCTGCCAGCGGCACGTCGTAAGGCGAATGCTCAATGGCAAACCCTGCTGCCCGAATTTACATCAATCGAACGGTTGGTTTCCGAGTCTCGCACAACACTGAACAGGGCTTTCCAAGTTGCCTGCCAAACCGAGTTCTTCCCACCAGCCCAGCCGACAAGGCCTGCAATATAGAGCATGTAAAAAGCCTTCCAAGCAAAAGCCCACTGTCTCGGAAATCTCGCAGCAAGCACTTTATCCATCTCCCATGGTGCCTACTCCCACGTCTTCCTTCTCGAACGGGTTCCCGCCGCTCGCCGCAGCCATCACAAATAAAGACTTTCCTACCTCTCCCCAGCGGAACGACCAAGGCGGCGGGCTTCCAGACCTTCACGAAAGCGAGTTTCTGTGCAGCTACCCACATTTTCCTGGGTATGCTGAAGATCAAGGCATGCCGTGGCGGGCCGCGGGCGGCAAGGCATGACTCTGGTGGTCAACAGTGTCACGGTCCAGCATGCGTGGCGGCCAAGTTCTCAATGGCCTTTTGGGGACTTCTTGACTCGACGTACTGCGAAGAGGACAGCTAAGAGGGGTCCGTTTGTTAAGAAAACCTATTGGGTGGCGATGGGACGTGAGGAAGGGGTTGGTGCAGCATCAATAATCGGGCCAAAGACTGCAAGGTTCGTAGCTGGTCGGTAAGATGTGTGCCCCTGAAATCTCCCCATTTTTCGGTGTAGGATCGGGAGGTACCTAAGGTACCTACCGATTTTGAGGTGTGGGATCGGGAGGTACCAAAAGGTTCCAGCAAGCAGTCGGCCTTACTTACTGGGAATTGGTAGACTTTTTGCAAGCGTTCGCCACCCACCTTACACTTCCTGCAGTTCCGTGTCGTGCTGGGACGTTTCCCATGAACCTGGAAGGCGTCAGCAATGTCCTTCCTCCCGATTCACCTCTAAGAATCGGGAGGTTTCCACTGTATTTACAGAAGGTACCTCCCGATTTCACCGCTGTAAATCGGGATGTATGTCGGATGTCCCCGACTGAGCAATGCCATGCCGCATACCGGTCCCGTAATAACTACCGATTTCTGGCTGTGAAATCGGGAGGTACGAACTTCATTCATCGCCACTTCAACTGCACTGCTGGGTCCGACATTGCAACACATCTGACTGCCCTCTAAGTACTTCTGGTTCTTCACTTGCCTGACGAGAAAAAATGCATGACTCGTCTCGGAGAGAACCATCGCATCCTTTCCGCCAAATGCTTCGGTCGCCCGCCCATACAAATGCAATTGATTGTGGCCGTCTGGCATCGGGTTTCTGCTTCATCACGGGCATGTCATGGGGTGAAGCCCGTGCGATGGAGGAGAAAGGGCGCTTTCCCTGCGGTTCACAGTGGTTGCCGGCTGCAGAAGGGTCTCAGGAGGTTCGGGCAGACACAACCCAGGTGCACCCAGTCTCGATAATCTTGAAGTAAGTGTGCCGTCCAAAACGGCAAGCATCGTCACTGCAGTCGGGCAACCACCCACCTGCCACTTCCGTTGCTTCTGCTTTTGACTTTGAAGGTTTCTCCGGGCAGCGGCTTCAGGAATTTCGCAGCAACAGCTCGACTATCCGCAAAAACGAGCCACCCAAACTCGTTTCGTACGTCGCTATTTCTTTCGAGCAACTTCTTTTCTCCTCCTCCTTCCACAAGCCGGTCTCCGTTCCAACCTCTTTCAGCGTCCTTGGTCGGCGGCTATTCTACCGCTCGGTATCCCGTCAACCGATCTCTGGCCATCGAGACCGTCAATTGCGCCGATCCCATCCACGATATCGACATCTTCCGTCCCGACAAAACCGAGCCACAACGATCATGGATGATTGTCGCCCAACCAAGCGCCGGCGAGAGAGTGTTTCCGATGCCGGCCATGAGAAACCCGAGGCCACTGCGTCCAATTCCAAGGGTTGCTCGAAGAAGCTCGCCAGCCAGATTGACGAATACCATCGCGCGGACGACAACGTCCTGCGCAAGGTCACGTTGCTTCAACGTAACATCACCACGACCACCGGCAAGATACGCTCATCCTTCGTGCGTGCCGTCGATTTGCATAACCAATTGGTCGAATGGCTGCAGTCACATGGCGAGCTCCTCAGTGTTACGACCCGTTATGCAAGGATAACAGCTAACCGACCCACTTGGGCGTCGAACGGCTAGGACAGGACATTTGTACTGCAGGATCACGGGAACAACAGGGATTCACTCAGGAACGGAAGAACTATGTTACAAGTCACGTG